CTACAAAGTTTATTGTTGTTGGTAATAGATATGAAACTGGTTTTACATTTCATACGTTAAAAACCGATTCAACCAGGAGAATGCTGCATTTAGGGGAAGCATTTTGCTCTGCTTGTATGCGTATAATCGAATATAATAAGGCTCAAAAGAATCTTTCATAGGGTGTTCTAGAATCGATAACCATTCTTTGGTATGTAAATTACCCGACTATGTATTGATCGATCGCAATATCGTATGATAAATTACATCACCTGATACTTTTATGGCCAATGAGAATTGCAAAAATTCGATATTAGAAGGAACGACCTAAAGAGTTAGTGCAATACGAGATAAACCAACACCAAATAATAATAAACATACAGATCAGATATTGTATTTGATGCAGTTTTCCAATCGAATAAATCGATTCTGCATACATATTACCGCTTATATAATTTTCCTCTTCTTGAAGCCTCAATCCGGTCAGGATTTTACAATGGCTGTGAATAAATGGCAACTTATTATGTGTATAAATATATTATAATAGGATAGTATTGCCTTGTTATTATTCTTGATTTTATGATCGAATTAGCTTGACCCGCAATATGCTGAATCAAATTCCGAAGATCGCTTATTTGGCTTGGTGTTTATGTTACATTTGAATCTATTTTCGAATCCGTCAGAAACACAAAGTCTTTTTTAGTGGCAGTGTTACTAAATTCGGTGGCTTTGGCGTCACTGCCAGAACTCTAACGTAAAAAGCGTGGAAAATTCCTTTGATTTTTTTATAGGGTTATTCTTCCCTGAACGAGAACACATTGTCAACAGATCTTTTGTATAAGTTGACAAATTTAAATTTACTTTTTTAACGACGGTCAAGAAACAACCTACCTTTTATATAGTATATTATATAAAAAAATAACCATGGGGGAAGCAGAAACATTGGAACTTCCCATTACTAAAATGCAATGGGGTTTACGAGGAGCACAGATTTTTTTTGCTTTTCTCTCAATGAGCTGTATTGCTGCTGAAATTGCCTTTGATAATAAGTTCATGTCTAGTTCTATTATTTCAAATATCCACTTATTTATCGTTGTCTTGTCGATATTTGTAGCGGCAGCTACTGTTGGTATTCCTTATGCTTATTTAACATATGGCAAACTTCAATCTGCAGCCAGAGCATTGAGAATACCCAGGATAGAATTTGTGCATACAGCAATATGGTCAGTTCTTTTATTTATAGTGTCATTAGCTTTAAGCTTGGAATTGGGTTTTAGGGATTGTGATCCTACTTCAGAAAAGTGGACTAGATTGAATGCTACATATAGAAACGACACTACTTTTATCAATGGTTTACAAGGGAATTGTAGAACAGCGCGTGCTGGTCTTGCATTTGGTTGGTTTGCACTCGGAGCTTGGTTAGTTTCTCTTGCTGTAATAGGGAAAGAATGGTACGATAGTAGACGTCAGCCTTTACCAAAACACGATCCTCATAAGGACGAGGTTACTATGAACACTAATTCATCACGTTCGTCGTTTGAACCAGCGGGTGAACACAGGACTCAACAACCATATCAAGAGCAAGTTCAAATGCAGAATATAACTAATCAACCTTATTCTCATCAAGTGCCCTATAGCACACCTCAACAAAGTTACTCACCTATGCCAGGAGTATTATCTCAACACGCCTCACCTATCATGACTCCAACAGGATTGCCTATTCCTGAACCTCAACCAATCCCTACAGCTCCTACAGGTCCCGGTGTTGGATTCCCTCAACCTCAGCACTATCAACCACCACAAGGATAATTCGAGATTGTGTTATTAATCCTATTTTTATCAAATCGCATCTTTTTGTCTTTACAATCATTTTTATGATAGGAAACAACATTCTTAATCTAAGATAATTTGTACATTAATATATATATCATTTTACAGAAGTTAACTTTAGTAAAAAAAAATATTTGTCATCCTGTATTCGGCATTAAATGTAAGAAAGGGAATATATCGATATATCTATTGTATTATATTGGTTAACGAATAAAATCACATGATACCATAATGCCTTACCATTATTTTTCATATGCTAAACCTGGTTGAATCGGTTTTTAACGTATGAAATGTAAAACCAGTTTCATATCTATTACCAACAACAATAAACTTTGTAG